AATGTGGTCAAAAGATGAATACTCCAAGGAGGTTTGCCTGTCAGTATTTCCAGGGCACTGACCAACACTTTCTCACTATGTGTAGGCTCTTTCACATGAGCATGATTTAGTCAGTTATTAGTTGCTGGTGTTATCAACATTTTACTCAAACTATTTTCTTCTCCACACGGTGTATATCATCTGCACACTGATATTCCCTGGGTACCGTTTGCCCTCCACAGAAGTTCTGACATCTTTAGTTAACTTTTCTTTTTCAGGCTGTGATTGAACACTCTTCCTAAAACTGATGAGCAGTAAAGGTTTCATCAAGCTGCTTAGAGAGTTCCCAACTTAAACTCACTTTTTGCCAAGTGATAATCAGCTACTACTTCTGATATCCCCTTAGTTTGAAGTTATAAGAAATTATTTACAGCATCACTACCAATAATATGGATAGTCTGGTTTTTAAGAACTGATTCTGGGAGACCTTTCCATGCTGTATGTTGATTTGCTGTTGCTAGCAGGCAATACTGAGCAGCCTTTTAGGCATATAAAAACATAGCACTGAAAAATACCCCTGCACCGTGGGGTTGCTATGTAAACTTGCAGTGTTCTATAGATTATACATCTAAAATTTTAATACATAACATACAATCTCAGTGCACAATATTGAGCTCACCAATTGTGGGACAGTCTACAGATACTTTTTGCTATAATTGTGCTGTTTGCTGTTGCTGCAGACAGCCATCTGCACAGATATTCACAGATGCTAAACCTCAGATCCTAAAGCCTCCCACGCAGAGTGTGCAAGGCCAGCGTGAGGACTGAGCTTTGCCCTTTTCCCTCTATGAACACATACCCGTACATCCCCCCTCCCTTAATTTTCCTTTTGGACATGGTAAAATATGACAGATCAGTGACACACAACTGGCTAAGTGAGAAGATGTGCTCACATTGCATTGACCTGTGCAGAATTTGAATCAAGAATGCCAGAAGGGAACATGCTATAGTCAACATAATATGAATTTTAAGTTGCCAAAATCCTACTATGTAAGGCCCACATTCCCAAGGAACTCTTTGCTGCTTAACTGGAGACATTCTTCGGAGGGCAAAAGTTTGGTTGTGTTTTATAGTGCATTTTCCTCCAGCATCTTATGAGCTGAGCACAACTGAATTTAAGGATTTTGCAGTGACAGAGTTGCTCATTGTGCTGCCTTTTTTATTTGGCTTGAACTGTTTTCTTCATTATTCCATGTTCTGCAGTAGATATAAACAAATGTTTATGTTGGAGAATGCTAAGGAACATGTGCAGTGCCCAGCGAAGCCTGCTTTTGTACAGTACGCACGGGAAATAACATGGGCAGAGAACATTTTGGTTGCCTTTAATGTATAGGTAAATTAGCCTGCAAGTGCTTTGTTGGGAATTACCTTTAGCAAAGTAGCAGTTGGTGATGGAAGCTCTTTGGTAAAGATGCACTGAGCAGTGCTTAAAAGTGTCTTACGACTCAATAGTTCTGTCATGTGTCAGCACCTGGTGAAGATGCTGATGTCAGTGGTATATTTAGTTTTGTGATCACCCTTGACAAGGTGAAATCTGGCCTCTGAATTCCAAGAACATATGGGATTATTGAGAAAGAAAATAGTGTGAACAAGGGCAATTATAGCAATAGCTATCCATGACATACTACACTGAATCATCCAAGCATAATACGGATATAATGAGTATGTTTTTAAAGGCAAACATGATGTAAAGCAGTGCCAAAATTATCTAATTCATTATTCTGTCATGAATGGTAAATGTTAAAAATACCCTCTATGTTCCACAGAAGAGCAACAGAGCATTCTTTCGTGTATGCCTTATGACATGGTTCAGGAGGATACAAAGGGAGAAAGGTTTCTTTGTAACAGGTATTAAAAGATGATGAAACACCTTTCTCATCTGAATTCCAACCTTTAATTTTTCAGGATATAATTACTCTGGTTATTTTTCATCACCCAAATCCCCTCCTATTTAACTTCTCATCATCACCTCACCACATATACACAGCAATGCAACATAGAGGAAGCAGCTGGCAGCCTATTAATCATAATAGAACTAGTTTTTACCTTGAAAAGGTGTCATCTACAGCTCTGCCCCCCTGTGATGCTATGGTTGGGGATCTCTTTGTTCTTTGAGATACATCATTTGTGGATTTACATTATCATTTCCAGATAAAGGTGAAGTAGTAGTCAAGTTTTAATACAGTAGGCATTAATTAAAAAACATCAGTTTTTCTAATGCACGTCATTATATAGAGTGACAAGAGCAGGGCATAAATATGTGATGCTGTGGCTGGGGGGACATGGTGAAGGCTGGGGGCCAGCCATACAATCCTTTTGTTCTCAGCACTGCAGCCAGCAGTAGGTGAAAGAACAAAACCATTGCGTAACATTATGATTTAATAATACTCTGTTTGTCAAGTGTGAGTTTCAAAGGGCTTTGAACAAAGAGGGCAGTACTGTTACTGTCATTTCACTGGTGAAGCAAACACAGTCAGGGAGTTACTTGCTGAAGGTCACTGAGCAGGGTAACAGCAGAGCAAAACCCCTGGTGTTTCTGACACACTGTGCTTTCTGACCGTGCCTGTGCTCCCCAGCATCCGAACCATGGATGGTAGTGACTGATTGATAGCTGCTACAGTTACTTGGCTGCAGGAGAGTGCAAACTGCCATGGAAAATTAATTATCGTGCGTGCAGCAAATTATCTGTCCCCAGCTCCAGCAAACAGAGACGATGTTGGTGTGGTGGTAGGAAGACTCCTGAAATATGTTGGGGTTTTGGGTGTTTTTTTTTAATATATGTATTTTTATATGTGTGAAATGTATGTGTCAGTGTATATCTAACTTTAAGTGTGTGTGTCTATATGGAATCCTAGAATGGTTCAGGTTGGAAGGAACCTTAAAGCTCATTTAGTTCCAAACCCCTGGCATAGGCAGGGACAGGGTAGCCACAGCTTCTCAGGGCAACCTGTCCCAGGGCCCCACCACCCTCATAGAGAAGTAAATAAATATAAATGTATATATATCTTACACACACTGCTGAGAATTTTACACTCTATGGCTGAGGCACAACCTGTTTGTCATGTCCATAAAGGGAATTTTTTTACCTAGGAACTGACCTTGACCAGAAGAAATAATCTGCAGCAGCTGCTTCATGAAACAGGCTGCTTTCCTTAAGGGGAGGGAATGACTTTTCTCAGTATATTCGGTGGGCATAAACTTTAATACTATTACCTAGCTGTACATTACCCTAGGCACACCTGATGCATATAGCAGGACTTCTCCTGTCAGTAAAGCTCTGCTTGTTTAATCACAACCATAGTACTCATAGGGAACCATAACTGTTATGCTGTTGTTTATAATCCATGTCAAAAGAATAAGTTGAACAAATGCAAAGTTCTTTTAGGAAAGTAAGATTTCTTGTTTATTTTGAGGTGAAACCCAACAAAAGTAAATTATTTTACTACTTACTGGCAAAGTCATTCTTGCTACATTACATGTTTTAAAACTCACATCTCATTCAATTAAGATTTCATACCATTGACAAAATGATGCTGTCCTGAAAGAAAAATACTGCAATAGCTGCTATATACAAGCCATAAATAACCTGCAAGATTTTCAGGCTTCAAAAGGCTGAGGGCAGGAAGAGATTGTTTAAAGATTCATTTGAGCATTTCTTATTCAGTACATTTGCTGCATTCAGTAACAACAAAAATACATTAAATCAAACAAAAGGAGTGGACTTAGATGGCAGTGAAACACATTTGTGCTTCTGGAATTTTTTTACTTGTTTATCAAACCCAGAAGAAACACCATCCCCAACCCAGTATTCCAAATGCAGTGTTCCACCTCCTTAACATCTCATGCCATAAACAAGATAAACTGCTTCATCACATTGTTCAAAAGTTAAAGCACGGGATGCAGGTTATCCACAGTGGATCTCAGTAGATACAGGATAATAAATGCTCCCTCGGTATTTAATACATCTAAGTCACATTGAAAAGTAGAAAGCCAAAAATGCTCTTCTTTTTTTCGTGAACAGTTTTTAAGTCTGCTATACCTGAATGAAAACCAGATTTAGCCCTGTAGAGTGCTGTCATTTGTATGTTGCAATTGTCATTTGTTGTGGAGTTTTTTTCAAGTGGACCTTGGGTAGTGATGCAGGGGACCAATACATGTATGGGCACAGGAGGAAATGCAGGCAGTGCTAATTGTGTAGAGGAGAATATTGTTTAAAATTAAGGATTTGTTTAAAAAAAGCTTTTATGTCCTGGTTCATTCACAGACCTGTTTGTGCTATAATACAAAGATTAGAAACAATCAAAGAGGGTTTAAATCTATATCCATGGTCACAGTGTAAAAAAGCAAAACAAAACCCAAACCCCAAAATAAAACACACAAACCCCCCACATGTTCCAATATAAAAAAAATATGCTTAAATATGTTGTCTGCACATCTGCACACGATACAAACACTGAACTCTGTTATCACAGTACTGTTCTGTTGCAGTCTCCTCCATACATTCTGAGAGCTCCTTCTTCTTTGTCTTTTTGGGGGAAAAATAGTCATTCTCAGGCCAAGAACTGCCCCTATATTTACACAGCTGTGGGAAATCCAATGCAGAAGAGGCAAGGAAAAAGCCATGCATAAAAGCCAAAGTGAAGACGTAGTCATTTACACACTCAGCTTTTACTGACCTGCCTTTTAGAGTTTGTTGTCAACAGGTTGTTATTGAGCAGTAGGAAACACAACAAGCATGTGTATGTGTGATACACAGTACGTCACATTCTGCTGCTGCATAAATTCAGCATATATCTGGTGAAATTAATTTCTGTAGAATGCTTAAAGTTGTAGCCGCAGACAGATTTGGGTTGACTGTGAGGTTTCAGTTTGGTGACCGTACCAACAAGTCTTGGCCAGGAAGAGGAGAAAGCAGAAAAGATTGGTCCAAACTGAAACAGATCATTATTTTTAGTGTAGGAAGGAAGGAAACATGGAAAGAACTTGGTCTGATCAGAAGTGAAATGCATTGATGTTTCCTAACTTTCAGCTCCATGTCTTCTGGATGAAACATGTCCCTAAATTGAGTTCTAATTGATAAATGTTTCCTGTTCCTTACAGATCAATTTACTTTTATTTTCTTCTTCACAAATTTACTATGCAATAAACAATTTCCACCCTGCACATTAGTGCGCAAATGTCTTTCCTCTTGGAAATCAATAGCAGATGTCTTGCTACATTCACTGGGACCAGAAATGGTCTGAGCTGCTGAAGATACAAACAATTAATTAAGAAAAAAAGACCAAAACAAAACCTCTTAGGCAAATCTTCAACCTCTTTTTTTTTGCTATTTCCTTTCCTTGTACTATTTTGATAGCCCAGTGTATTAGAAAAGAAGGGATTCCAGCAAATCAGTCTGTTAGGGAGACAGATACTTCTAACAGGGAAGAGCTGGGGCTAAGGAGATGTGGCTGCAAAGCCACTCTGCGTAGGGGGCCTCATCTTTGGAAATGGCTCTGGAGCCCCTGGCTGCTGAGTCAATCCCAGAGCAAGACACAGATTTAGGGGTTCTGACCAGCTCCAGAGCTTACATCCTGCTTTTTCTCCGTCTGGAAAGGTGCATCATTGGTGCTCCAAACACCCCCTCTGAGAACCTACAAAACACTGGTCAAAAGAAAAATTACAGTGGATTTTTGCCTTAAAGATCCTTCATAGCAGTTTTAAAGCAGAAGCTATTAAGTGCTGAGCAGAGTTTAAAAACACAAAAGACTCTGCAGAGACCTATTTAAAAGATGTCTGTAGGTAACAATACATAGACTTACTTGTAGTCTGGCTGTCTTCACAGTATATCATTGTGTTACATTTTTATGATTGGAATTCAGTGTCTCGATTTGACCAGGAACAGAGGAAAGATAAATCACAGTGCCAGAGTTTGATTCCAAAAGCCACAGTGCGTTTGTGAAATGCACTTAATGGACAGCTATTGATTGCATCCAAAAGCTTCAGGCAAAGCAGTACAAATACTTTGCACTGCGATATGTGAGCAGATACAGATCAGTGATAGAAATGCTGTGGACTGCTCTAGGATACCCTTAGCCACTTCTGCCTTTTATAAGTAGGATGTAAACAGGAATATCTAAAAAACCAGTAGGCCACATATATGAGATTTACATGTTACAGGTGCTGTTTATGTGCATAGAGACATAATATGTGTATATTAGTTTAGCTAATTCCATGGCCACGCTGGGAGCTGCGTAGGTGGAAGAGGCTTCTCGCTCATGTCCCAGATTCCTTGTAGCATTTAAATTAATCATCACACTATGTGTTTTGAATAAGCTTCCACTTTGACAATTGGATTCTGTAAGGCAATAAATGTAAACAGAGTGTACAGCAAGACCAGAATAGCCCCATTACAACATCACAATGAGAAGCATTTCATTTTAAAGCATAAAAATTCATCTTTCCAGAGGTATGTTGCCTTTCCTCTGTTCTGGGAGCTGGAATGATGCAGATAGCAGTAAGCCCTGTTTGCATACCTAGTGTTTTCATTGTTGCTGTCAAAACCATCCAGTGTATTTCTGTGCTAGCTATTATTACATCTGTTGCTAGAGCCAAGTGGTAGAAGGTGTTACAGTTTTGAAGGTAAGCAGATGAGGGCTATTTACTCAACAAAACAATATGGCAATTTCCAATTTCTTAGGCAGTGATTAAAAAAGCAGTTTTCTACTGGTACCAACAGTGAAGAAAAACTGGTGGATGCTGTGTCAGAGGTCCTGAATGTATGGCTTGATTTTCACTTAGAAGCTGGTATTACTGTCAGACTGCTGATAAATCAATGCGGTTGCCTGAATTGGTGCTTTTATCCCAGGTGTTCAGCTTTGTGGGGGTCGTGCCTGGCCTGTTCCCAGTCATCTGGAGAACAAAACAATATTGAAAATAGATGTATGTATTTTGCTAAACCGCTCTTGTTTGGATGAAGTAAAAGCTTGAAAACATTTATTTACATTACAGAGTTGTCACAGTCTTGAAAGCATATGCTATAAAGGGTTTTCAAACAGGTATTGCCAGGATCTAAAGTGATTGGCAGTGATCACTTAATAATACCTATCACTTCAGAAGTTTGGTTCTTTATAGAAATAGATGTCTTTAAGGAGAGCTAGAAAAGCATATTCATGTGTTGGCTTATTTAAGAGTTTATTCCTCAAGCTTAAATGTAAAAGTGCTCTATCAAAAAGCCATCATCATCAGACAAATAGGTTTCCAAAATGCTGCTTGAATGCATAATGCAAAGTCCATTACGAATGATGGGAACATAAACCTTTGTTTAATTTTATTGATATTTTACCAGAAACCCAAATACTGTCCTTTGCTTTCAAAACATATTGTAACTGCAACTTAATGCTCACTGATTGTACCCACCTACACCATGCATTAGGTTAGGTACTAAAAATACCTGCACGCTGCCTTGTGTCCTGTTCTTTCTAACAGAATTTAGTGTGCGGCACTTTCAAGTGCAACAGGTCAAAAGAAAAAGGAAGGAAGGAAGGAAGGAATACTCACAATGTCCGAGTTGAAGGGTTTCACATTGATGTTGCGCGTTGAGCTACTGGTAAGGGACCAGACCTTGGTTTTGTGCTTAAAGGCAGCTCTAACCTTCCGGGGAAAAAAAGAAACCCAGTGGCAGATTTCTTTTGCAAAGTTCATGTCTGTTTGCACAGGTGCAGGTGACAGTCCTGAACCATCAAACCTTCAACCACAAATTGACAGAAAATGGGGTTTGAGAGTACAAATTCTGAAAAGTTCTTAAATTTTCTCATGAGGTTCCTGGAAAAAGGGCAGCGATTCCAACATTTGTCTTTGATGTAAGACACTGGAAAGCTTTCTGAGCTTGGGAGAGACTAGAACAAAGAAACATTTTTGACTCCTTACCTTTAATGTGCCTGCTTTAGTTGATTTCAGTAAAGATCAAGAATTCCATAATCAGCCCTGACTGTAGCAAAAGTCATATCTGTGCTTTAAGACTGAACAGGCTGTAAATACTAAATAATATCTCCACAGAGGAGCTAGAGTGCTGTCGTTACACAGGAAGAAATAGCAGGCCATGGGGCAGAACTACCTAGTAGCATCCAGAAGAAATTGCTGTGGGAGAATCCAAGTTGTATTCCCCAGGCAGCACTCCCATGAGCTGGAAGTGGTGTTCATAAGAAACTTCTGTTGCGATAGATGCTGCTAAGCATTTTCTGCTATCTGCAGAACAGGAAGAGAGACTAATGCAAGCTCCAGGCCCAGCAGAGATTGGTCTCCACATGCCCTGTTGACATCAGCCTTGCCTTGGCTTTATCCCAGCTCCTCTGAGACAGCCTTAATGCAAAAAGATGCCTTGATCCACTATGAAAACCTGAACTTTCTGCCAAGAAAAATACCTGGAGTATGTCCTACTCTGTTTGTTTTCCCAGTAAGGACTGCATGAGCAATGTCCGAAAGTATGTTTTCTGAGAATAGTATTTATTTTCCTCTCTGGAAATGCAGATGTAACAAAGCCAGAGCCAGTCCTGCATCCTTCCTTAGCACCACAGCTATGCCCTGCTCAGCAGTGCTGCTTTCCTTCTCTTTTTTTTCTTTTTCAAACCTTTCTTAGGCAAGTAAATTAAAAGTCAAGCATGGGCCAAAATGCCACAAGTCACAAAGTCACTACTCATGACTCGTGGTAAGACCGTGTATTAATTGAAAGAAAAAAGAGATCAGTAGCATAGTAGGCAGTGATAATGGAGAGTCTTTTCTTGTTTTATACTCATGTTACTTGAAATTGGTTAACACCAAATTAGTTAGAACTATTTGGTTACATACCTCTGAATTCAGAAGACAGTGAAACAGGAACATGAAAAATCCCTGAAAACAGATAAAAGGGAGAAGGGTGAATCTGGCATACGGTAGTGTATTTTTTGCAGTATTGTATAAAGCAGGTATCGAGTAGCTGGAGAAGCATAAATATCAAAGAGTGGGCGAAACTGTGCCCTACATTAAACTGGAGACACCTGCAGCATTAGGTTACCATGAGGTTTGTCTGGACCTTTTCCTATTAAACAGCACCTCCTAATCACTGGTGTGTCAAGAGAAATCTGGCTGTAGACAACCAGGAATTCTGTTTTCATGACAAGAGAACTTTTCATCTGTGCTTGCAAAGATAAAGGCAGAGGGAAATACTCTTTGGGAAACGCCAGATCAACATTCTTTACATTAGAAAAGCAAGGTTTTAGCATTGTGAATTTTTTTTGCCATCCTTGGGCTTTTTGCCCAATGGAAAGTGAAAAGATTCCATACCTTTCCCCTCCTCAGAATTATTTTCTTTTGAGGGAATATTCAGCTGAATTTACAGTTTTCATTTTGGAGATAACTGGAACTTTTCTTGTCAGTTCATGAGAGAACTCTGTTGCACTCTTGTAACTACAGTGCTGTTTGTTCCTGACATGTAAAAGGATTCTTCCCCTTTGTAACCATTATCTGGGAAGAATCACTATTACCAGCACTGTATGGTCAGCACAGGCTTAAAAGACAGAGGAAGGAACATAGGAAAAAAATGCAGTAAACACAGGCATGTGCAGACATTACTAATGATCCACCTACTGGATCTCAGTAGCAGTTTAATAGCCATAAACTTTTCCACCAGTTACTTACTTGGAGTGAATTGAAAACAGCAAATATATACTGAAATACTAATGCATGGGCATTGACAGCCAAAACTCCAAAGATCCACGAGCTTCCCAAGATCGGTAAGAGGACAGCGACGGCTTTAGCTGTTAGCCTGAAAGAGAAAACAAAAATAGGAAATGTGATGAGACAGTTACACTTCATCCCACACAGCAGGGAGTTTATCAGCCAGGGCTGTCTTGGCAGCAAGGCAGCGTGTGTGTGAGTCTTCTCCATAAAATTCTTTCAATGGGCAAGTCTCTTAATTACTCATCCCTCATCAATGAAAATGGGGATAACAGAACGTCAGTATCATATGGGATAAATACAGATGGAGAGTAAGTAACTGGGAGTGCAGGGGAAGAGATGGAGGGATGGTCACATAACTACTGTGGTCGTATCCGCACTTACGGTGAAATAGTATTTGGTTGATGAGGAGTCAAGTCTTAAGAGTCAAAAACACAGAGAGCAGAAACTGAGAACAAAGGCAGCATCACATGGGAAAACAAATCCCACCGTGTAGTACATCCAAAACACACGTGCTGAGCACTACAGCTGAGTCAAGACAACACGGAATTTCTCCTATAGAAAGTGACTTGGGATTTTTAATCACCACAAATAAAAGAAACATGATGTGCCGCTGCCAAATACAAATCCTCTAACACCCCAGTATTATTCTGCTGCCACCCCGCTTTGTTCGGAGTCAGTGCCGAGAAATGCGTTGCCAAATACTGAAATAGCTCATGTGCCTTGGAGGTCCCTACTGATATGTTCACTCAGCTTAGCTTGGAGATCTTGGCAGGATTTCAATAAAAGGTGGTATGACAGCTGAAAAGCTGATATAGCTGAAAACATAAGAGGGATTTTTGGATTTGCCTTAATGAGTTGTGTACAGCATGTGTGTTATAGTGAAAGACAAAAAGAAACAGTAGTGTAGCAGAGAATGAAATCATCACATTAGGTTCTCTGAGGCATCTGAATTCCAAGGACCAAACTTTTATATAGAGAGTAAAACAAACAGAAATACAGAGCAAACAAAGGCATTGCATTTAGACTTATAAGATCACAGTTAGGTCTCTCCAGTGTATCACTGCCTCCTACATTAACCACCAAAGAACTGTGCACTTTCTAAACAGAGCTTATTTCCTTCATCAGCAACAGGAATTAAGGGCAGCCAAACCTCAGAGCGCTCAGGACTCTGTAGAACAGGCACAGACAATATTTTAGTCTGTCTTCTGCTTTGGCATAAACACAGCTAATATCTCTCTGCAACCCACTATCACTGCGCCACTTCCAAGGCAGACAGGCACAACTGATAAAATTAAACTCACAAAGATGACTGCTTATCCCACACAACTGTCTACTCCTTAGGAAGCCCTCGGAGCACCATTTCTGATTCATGCTAATGAACTGCTCTAAAGAATTGTACCTTTGTGCCTGCATATACCCTGTAATATTCCAGGGTACCATAGTAATAGCCCTACGGAGTGTTTCTAGTGTAATCACAGAAAAATGACAAGACAACTTGGATTACTCTAAGGAAGTCCTTGCCACAGGATGCTGTGGACATCTAAAAAGGAGCCTATAAATTCTCAGAAGACAATTCTGTTCTGTGTTATTAAATGTGACAATTCAGATGCAGCTGCTTGTGCAGGAAGTCCCTAATCCTTTTGTACTGAGATACATGATCAAAGAATCTCTCTGCCTGACCTTTTCAGTGGAGATACAGGGTTGGATGGACCCCCAGTCCATCACTTTAATCTGGAATGGCAGTCTGCCTGTTCTTGGCCTAATCCACCTGGCTTTTTGATTAAAACATTAAACACCTTCACAGCTTGTTGACCCAGTAAAGGCAGTGTGAAACAGCAGGGCTAGGTGACCACTAATGGAGTTAATAAGTCATCCCTCCCATTTTCCCAGCACTGGGCAACCCAGAAGCATTCATGACATCCGACCACTCTGTAACCACTCACTCAAAACCCACCCTGAATCCCCACAGGGTAAAGCATTCTTGCTGTCAAGACACTACTAACCAGGCATCCAGTGCAATTTTGCCTGTCAGGGATGAAGAGAAGAAGTCGGACCGTCGCACACCAGGCACCAATTATCAGTGAAGGCTCTCAAAAGACAAATTTTTCCTGGGCAGCCGAGTACAATTTTGGTGGTACAAAACAAAAAGCACAAAGAAGGGACCTGTCTTCATTTGCAACATCTTTGAACCAACAAGGCAGATCTAATCCGTATGTACCACAGCACTTACAAACACTTTACTCCTGCTGTAGCCCACAATATTTAAGCGCATACTTACAATTAAATGTGCTTACAATATTCCAGTGAATTTCGTCTATGGTACTGTTATGGATAAAGAAGCCAAGAGGGCAGTGGGGGAGCAGGGCTAATGAGAATCCAAGTGTCAGTCCATGATCATTAAAGCTGTATTTTCTCAGAAATCAGCACATTTCTATTTAGCTGGAAACCTATGCAAGACAGACAGTTGTTTTAGAGCCATTAATATCCTACTGCTGCCTCATACAGATGGAAGTGCAGGTTCAGGAGGGAGGCGCACAGAGCTGCATGACAAGAGAACACTTGTAATTACAGCAAACATAAAACAAATGAGGAATTTGTACAACACACTTCTATGAAGAAATCTTCTAATTAAACTTGGAGACATCATCTTCATTTCAGTGACCTGAGCACACACATCATTATAGCCTTGATTAAAAGTCTGTGTGGAAGAACTGCACAGGCTTCAGGTTTAAAAGGAAATCTGGGACAGGGAAGAATCTAGAATCTTATATATATATATAATATATGTGTGTATATATATATATATATACATATTCCTGTATTGATTCATATCTTTATGTCCTTGGCCATGAATATTTGTGCACAATTCAATGTAATTCTGCAAAGAGTTTTTTCAGCCGGAAAATGAAGGAATACCTTAAAGCTGGAGCTCTCCTATTTAATGAAAAATGCATTTTAAAAGGTACAGTTTGAAAACAATTAAAGTTTGATTTCTGTGTTTTAACCTTAAGGTTAAAGCTCATCACCTCAGCTCTAACACAAGCTGTGTTCCACTGGGAGCTGTCAGCAGCCCACTTCTTCCAATCACCTTTGTGCAGAAAAACCTGTGTAATACTACAGAGCCCTCAGGCCTTCAGGAACTGCATCTGTGCAAGACTTGGGACTGGAGGGAGGATACACCAACACCTGGAAGATGGATTTAGGTACATTCAGGTTCCATGAGGGTTTAAATGTCCTCTCTAACCTAATACAGCAGGTGATTAGTATGCTCAGCACAGCTACGCTTGCAAAACTGGCTTCATTGTAGACCACCCTTTTTTCTTTATCTCTTTTGTACTCACACTCTCAATTTATAGTGAATTTGCAGTTTGAATATAATTTTCCCCAGCTGGTTTGTTGCCAAAAATAAGTTTTCATTATTTCTTTTTGAGTCAGAGCATAAAAAGCTTCATCTGTAATTTGTAGCTGGGGGCAGAATAGTGTGAGTTACTCAATTTCAGTGTTTTGAAAATCGTTCTTGCAGTTTGGATTTTCAAGAGCTTTTAACATAACAAATAACTTATATGTTTTTTAAATCTCATATATTAATAAAGACTATTAGGCACTGTTAAGCACAGGGTTCAGCACATGTGCAGCAGAAATACATAGCTAACAATAAGAGCAAAATACAGACGTGGGATTTTCCATGCAAATGCACTAATGTGTCATGCACATCCATTTAGAAGAGCAGCCATATGAGGGTGAAATTCACTTACAACTATCTAAGGGTCAGCTCTACATATGTATCACTTAAATCTCATTAAGTCTTTTTTTCTTTTGCTTAATTACTGCACAGCTTCCTATGGTTGCATGCTCTGAATTTTACCCTGTGTATGAAATTACTAGTCGAATGTGTTTATGAGCTTTACTCACAAAGCACTCAGCTCTAGTGCTCCTGGTGCTCTGTTTTTCCCTTCTCCTTCTCCCTCCCCTTCCCATCCTTATTTCATTTTATCTTTGAACTTTAAAAGAGAAAAATACTCAATGTAAACCACTACATCAGAACACCATTAAGGTGGCAAGGTTAAAAATCTCAGCAATACAGAAGTTACTGTTCCACTCAGCACATTAATTCCGATATGCTGCACATACTTTATTCTTTTTAATTCCCATTTTTCTTTGCTACATGAATATTTTAGTAGATTAGTTCTAGTGCACTAAGATACAAAGCACGATGAAGTACATGTTGTTTTTGGAGAAGGAATACTGCATATGACTAAAATTGTTCAACCTTAAAAGCCACTACCATTGCTTGGTCTTTGTCTGCAGCACTGCTGACATGAATAGCAACACTCTATTGCTACATGAATAGCAACACCAGGTCCAGCCCCACCAGGGCTTCATAAACTTTGCTGAAATCTTTGTCCTTGTACCCTAATGTGGCAGAAAACAGACCAGCAACTGTCTTATAAAGGACCCTCTACATTTCTCCTGCATGCCCCTTCTCGTGCTCTGGTTGTTGAAACTGGAAGCTACCTAACAGCCTGCTTCTCACATACATACCCTTGGAAAAGCTCAGACTTTGTTACTGTCCTGCAGTCTAATAGCATTCTGTTGGTGAGCTTTCTGCTGCTCTGCATCTGTACACACTGAATGACCAGCCCTAGAATTAATTAGGAACAAAGCAGAACCAGGACAAACATTTCTTTCCTTCTTTCTATTCTTTTCTTTTGCCAATGTATTTATTTTAAATACCTGTTAGTACTTTGACACCTTCTGGAAAATGTGAAATATCTTGAGTCTGATTACATCTTTATATCCAGAGTATGTATGGAACAGCCTTTGGGATATTACTAGCTGTACATGGACTATTTAGCAAGTCACTCTGCAGTTAGGGTTGTTTCTCACTCTGCCCCAACACTAACAATCTCCTCAGCTGGGCTGCAGGGACTCCTGATGCTCACCAAGAACCAAACCACTCTTTGCCATGACTTTTGATTTCTTTCAGCTCAGTATGGTTGTATGGCTAAAAGCAGCCAGGTAGGGATGGGCACTGCACACCCAGACCTTCAGAGGCTGCCTGGCACGCACTGCTGGCCATTACAA